ATATGTAATAGTATCAAACAGTATTGAGAAATGACATACATTTGTGAAGGGCTTAGTGTAACATGAACTATAAAGATACAATTTAGCTTTAGAAGGGTAATAAGAAGGCAGCAGAGGAAAAAGGATCCTGACCTTTCTCCAGCCTGTGGTCAGAAAGGTACTTTCATAGCAGGCTACTACTGGGTTTGCTTTGTCAGAAGAACCAGGATGAATTTGTAGCAGTGATACACTACCACTGCAGTTTGTCATGCAGTTTTTGCAGGATCTTTTTAGCATCACAGATGTTAGTATGGGAGTCTGTGTCCACCTAGCATTGAGTCTTGGTTCAACTGATGATGCCCTGAAACTTTGTGAAACGTGATCTTAGCTATGATTTATTTTCTGTAGCTTAGCCATCTGTTATTTTTACTGAGGTAAAAAATCAAGTTTTATTGCTAAAAATTTCTTACTGTTCTTTTTTTTAATACCCACAACACGTGGGATGTATTTGACTTGCAGTTCTGTATTGAAGTGGGCTTGTTCTCATATTTTCAGTGTGTACTTCCAGTTCTAAGAGTAACCAGTTTTTGGAGTTAATTTCAAGCTTGTATCTGAAGCAGTAGAGCAGGAGTATGTGCAAAATGCCTGAGCAGTGCTGTTTTTAAGCTAGGTCCTGTTCTCATCACTGTGATGTGACTCAGAATATGCCTACCATGGTCCATCTCTGGCTTGCGCAAGGCCCCAGTTGGCAATATTTAGCAGGGGAGATCCCAGTGTGATCTTGAACTTCAAGTGAGTAATTTAAACATTTTTCTCTGTGAAGGTAGCAAAGTGAGTTATTCTCTGAAGAATGCTAAAGCCTGGGTGCCTTATGCTTCATATGAAGTACAGGGATTCTGTGTGAGCTTTCTTTGATAGTTCTGTAAGTTTTATGGCTTCATGAGGTAATTCTTTTGTTTAAGCTTCTTTATGAGCTGTGGTGTACCAATCTAGTACAAAGAAAGTAATTTAGGTTCTTACTAGAAAACTGGTTTCTTTGTGCTTGATGTTTGGAGTTCTTAATAGGCAGTAACACGCAAGTGTTGGAGAGCTGCAAAATCACCTTTCTTATACATAAAAATCTGCTATGCTTGCTGCCAAAGCTGTGCTTATGTGCGGGGACTGCTCAGTAAGTTCCATGGGAGCTGAGCAGATGATGTTGATTCCTTACTGGAAGTTACTGGTGAACCTCTTCTGAAATCTTTCCATGCTGAGCAGTATCAGTTTCAATCTGAGATGGATACCCCAAAACTAGAGTTTATTCAGTAGCTGGCCTGTTACTAGTCTTTTCAAAATCCATTGTCCACAAAATGCAAAGTTTACTTAGTTCATCTTACATTTGAGTAATGTTTGACTTCAGTCAGCTCCAGGCCTTTACTGACTGGGTGATTCACTACCTGTCTCAATCTGTCAGTGCTTTTCCCCATCTATTTCCCAACTGTCCTGATAACTATTTCAGTTTATAGCTAGCATCAGAAGTTAGCACATGTGCTTTAGCCTCTTTCTGCTGTGTTGAAGTTAGGTTGCAGACCAAGAGGTGTTATGCCTCTGCATAATAAAGGCTCCAGAAATGAGGTGCATCACTTTTTCTGCTGTTTGTCTCTTTATTTAAAAATTAAATAATCCGTGAGCTGTTAACCTGTTGTATAATAAGCAGTTTTTCTTAGCAGCTGCTTGTCTTTAACTTCATCGACAACCTTGATGAGGGGGTTATGTCCACCCTCAGCAAGTACGCAGATGATACAAAGCTGGGAGGAATGGCTGACACGCCTAAAGGCTGTGCTGCCATTCAGCAAGACCTGGATGGACTGGAGGGCTGGGCAGCAATAAACCAGATGGGGATTAACAAAAGCAGGTGTAAAGTCTTGCACCTGGGAAGGAATAACCACAAGTATCGGTACAGGTTGGGGCATGACTTCCTGGAGAGGAGCTTTGTGTAGAAGGACCTGGGAGTCCTGGTGGATGACATGTTGGCCATGAGCCAGCAGTATGCCTTGGTGGCCAAGAATGTCAGTGGGATCCTGGGGTGCATTGAAAGGATCATGACCAGCAGGTCAAGGGAGGTGATCCTTCCCCTCTGCTCTGCCGTGGTCAGGCCTTACCTGAAGTACTGTGGCCAGTTTTGGGCTCCCTGATACAAAAAAGATGGGGATCCCCTGGAGAGCGTCCAGTTGGGGGCCACAAAGATGATAAAAGGCCTGGAGCATCTCTCCATTGAGGAAAGGCTGAGTGACCTGGGTCTGTTCAGCCTTGAGAAAAGAAGACCTGGAGGTGATCTTATTAATGCTCATAATGTCTTGAGTGTAGGAGTCCAAGAGACATGGCCAACCTCTATTCAACAGTCTGTGGGGACAGGACAAGGGAAAATGGCCATAAACTGGAGCATATGAAGTTCTGCACCAATATGCAAAGGAACTTCTTCACAGTGAGAGTGGTGGAGTACTGGAAGAGGCTGCCCAGGGAGTTTATAGATTCTTCATTCTCTGGAGATATTCAAGACTTGCCTGAACGTCTATCTGTCCATTTTGTAGGGGGGCTGCTTTGCAGGGGAGGTTGCACTCAGTGATATCTAAAGGTCCATTCCAATCCCTACAGTTCTGTGTTTCTGCGTTCTCTGCGACATAGCATTCAGTACTTGGCTGAATCAGAGTTGCAAAATCTAGGAAAAAATATTATCTTTTCACTACTTATTATGTAGTAGATGCCTTATTTTATGCCTGTTAGTATTCTTCCAAACCTTGAGAATCACAGTCAGATGGGAGCTCATGTATTACAGGTCATCTGCACTAAGTGGAACAACAGAGGTGATGCCCTCTGAAGCTGACAGTTGGTTCTTTATTCAGATACCCTTGTGTCTGAACTGAGGTGCTTCTGGAAGAACAAATTTAATCATGTAAGAAATCCATCACACCTCTAATCTGACATCCTGTCACTTTAATGGATGTTCAGTGATGATTCCTCACTGAGAACTAGAGATATACAAATCTAGTCCTTACTAATTTAGACCATGCTTTATTATATAGCTTTGTGCAAACATTAAAACTTGGAGTATTATGTGATATTTGATTTTTGCACTATACAATTTCATTACTGTCAGCATGCCAGTGTAAGCAAAGTTCATAGCATCAGATGTGCTCAGTCTGTTTTGCATGGAGGCATACTGATTGGTACTAAATTTGGATCTGAGGATGCTGGTGCACAGCCAGCTGAATGTGAGCCAGCGCTGTGCCCAGGTGGACAAGAAAGCCAATGGAATCCTGGCAGAAATACCTTGGCCAGCAGGACTAGGGAGGGGATTGTGCCCTTGTATGTGACACTTGTGAGACCATACCTTGAATTTGTGTTCAGTTTTGGGCCTCTCACTAAAAGGAGAATGTGGAGCTGCTCGGTCGTATACAGTGTGGTGAAAAGACTGGAGAACAAGAATTAGGAGAAGCAGCAGAAGCTGCTTAGTTTGGAGAAAAGGAGTCTGAGGTGAGAGCTCGTTGTTCTCTACAGCTACCTGAAAGAAGGCTGCAGTGAAGAGGGTATCTGGACGTGAGGAAATGGCCACAAATTCTTCCCAGAATCCAGTTTAACTCCCTCCTTCACGGAGAAAGTGCTCAAGCATTGGAATGGGCTTCCCAGGGAAGTGATGGAGTCCCCATACCTGGAGGTATTTAAGAGGCATGTGAATGTGACACTAAGGGACATGAGTTAGCGATGGGACTCCATGGGTCAGATTGTTTGTGGAAATTGGTGATCTTGAAGGTCTGTTTCAACTTAAATGAGTCCATAATTTTGTGAAAAATATGGGAATCCAATTAGTAGACTCCTGTACTAGCATCTTTTTGTCTGTTATTTGGTACTGATCTAACAGAGTTAGAGCTTTCCTAGTTGTTTCCCTTCTGCCTGATGGCTCTAAACGTCTGGAAAGACTGTCTGTGTTTATAATCAGCTTTCACTCATTTTTTCACTCAGGACAAACTATCTGAGCATCAGCATGCCTTTCTTAACAGTATGAAGTGCTTATGATGATAAATGCAATATTCTGTCTGAAAAGATGTAAAGAGCTGATCAGTTTGTGATTTTTCTTATAATTCTATCAGTTGGAAGCTTCCAGGTGTGCATATAACAATCAACTAATGCTTTTGGAAAAGCTTTTTTTAAAAATCCCTGCCTTTGCTGCTGTTGTGTTTTTTTACTGTTTTCATATTTATTTATATAGTGTAGTCATTCTAATGAGTTTGGACTTGTACTGATTGTTAATAGCTCAATGAACTTAATTAACTTTCGGTCAGAATCATCTTAATTGGTGTTACTGACTACAGAAAAGTCTGGTTTCAGGAAGAAACTTCTGTGTTGTTAAATGTTAGCATTCATCTATTTGATTTTTATATCGTTTTCCTCTTCTTTCAGGAACGGAGCTTTTTGAAGGTGTATTGTTGTTGGGTCTTTTGTTTTGATATCTGTTAACAACATGCACTGTGTTCGGCCCTGACCTGTACATAATTAACGTTTTCCAGTTTTGTTTTTAGTTGCTTTGTCTCAAAATAGGAATTTAGCAGTCTACTGTCATGGGGAGGGGAAAAAAATATTGGTAAGGTTATCCAGTTAGGGTAAGTGGAATTCAGGGGAATCTAAATGTGTTTTTTCTATTGTAGCTTTGACCTTCTAGTAATTAAATTTGTTACAGTATGTGTTCTTTCAAATTGCCTATCACCAGCAGCCTGTTTTCCTAGAAGCAAGTTCTTGACACAGTGATTGTGTTCTCTGTTTATATGCCTTGAGATTGAAAGTTGCATTAAAAAACAAGAATGCAGATTTGTTCTGAAGTCAAAGTGGCATATGAGTCCAGAACTATAGTTAAGAAGTAGATTCTGAAGAAGGGTGCAATGTCTGAAACAGATGTGTGTCTACTTTTGTAGGGCTGCATAGCATTACACTGAAGACTTTAGGTGCAAAAGAATGTATTTTTATAATCTGTTCTTCTTTTGAAACAGAGTGGAGGCCAAGAACAGAGTGCAGCACTGGCTGTAGGTAAGAACTGAAACTTAACCTGCTTGAAAACTCTCCTGAATTAAAACTGTGTAATATGGGCAGGAAAATGAACCATGCTGAATACCAGCAGTTTTCTCTTCAAGTACTTTTTTTCTCCAAGCTGTAAAAGCTACTTCTGCAGAACTGTTATGTTTATTTTGAAGACTTTGAGGCCAATGTAGAATCATAGACTCACCAAGGTTGGAAAAGACATATAAGATCATCCAGTCCAACTGTCCATCTATCACCAGTATTTCCCACTGAACCGTGTTCCTCAGTACAACATCTAAACATTTCTTTAACGTTCCACCACCTCTCTGGGCAGCCCATTCCAGCACCTGAGCACTCTCTCAGAGAAGTATTTTCTGACATCCAACCTGAATCTCCCCTGCCACAGGTTGTGGCCATTCCCTCTAGTCCTATTGCTGGTTATGTGGGAGGATGACTCCCACCTCACCACAGCCTCCCTTCAGGTACAAGGTCACCTCTGAGCCTTCTCCAGACTGAACAATCCCAGCTCCCACAGCCATTCCTCATATGTCTTGTGCTCCACAGCCCTCACAGCCTTATTGCCTGTCTCTGAATACGTTTTGGGGCCTCAGTGCCATGGTCTCCTTCTTATAGTGAGAACCTCAAAGTGAACATAGTACTCAAGGTGTGGTTTCACCTAGCCTGAGTTCTGAAGGACAGTCACCTCCCTGCTCCTGCTGGGTGCACTTTTTCTGTTACAAGCCAGGATGTCATCGATCTTCTTGGTCACCTGGGCACACTGCTGGACTGCTGGCTCATGTTTGGCCTAGCATTGACCAGTAGTACCCTCAGGTCTGTTTCCTCTGCACAGTGTTCCAGCCACTCTGCCCCAGCCTGAAGTGTTCCCTGGGGTTGTCGTGGCTGTATATATCTCTCTGTGGTTAAAGATGCAGGCTGCCCAGGGGAGCTGTGGATGCCCCATCTCTGGAGGCAATCGGGGCCACGTTGGTTGGGGGACCCAGACAGCCTGATCTGGTGGAAGGTGTCCCTGCTTATGGCAGAGAAGTTGGAACTGGATGATCTTCAAGATCCATTCCAACACAAGCCATTCTGTTATTTAAAACTTATCTTAGAAGATCGTGTTTAAAGTTCTTGGAAATTTGAATGCAGAAATTATGTGACTTTTTTTTTTTTTTTTTTTTTTTTTTTACCAATACTGATTTTATATCTGTATTAATGTTACTATTTAACTTCAAATCTTTCCTGAACCATGTGCCTTGAACCAGAAACCAAGACCCTGAGAAGGTTTGTAAGTCTGAAGTGGTGGCAAATGCTCATGTGAAGTTTTTTCCCTTACATAGTTTTACTATTTCTGCTTACCTAAGCTACTTCATGGAGTTTGTATTATATTTCATGTTTATTGTGCTGTGCAAGCATAGCTATCTTTCATCTGTCACATTGGAAAGGTAATGCTCCCAAATGTGAAGTAGTATTTATTTACCTTACACTTCTGATGAATCGGTAAAAAGCTCACTGAATTCTGAGGAGATGATTAAATTGATTTGTCATTTTTGTTGACTTGTCAGTTTTGTTGTCAGTGGTGGAAAACATCGTAGAGTTCCATGTCTAAAACTTTTAATAACCCATTTAGAAATGAAGAATATAAGCTATTATAGATGTCACTAAAATAATTGCCCTTGATTTTTATACCTGATGTATATATTGAAATAATTGTTTTCCAAAATCACTGATTTTGTTGAGATTTTTATCAATTTTTTTGTTGTAGCTCTTAGGAGAGCTCATCGTGATGCTACATCAGAAAAACAGTCCCTCAAGCCTACTGTCTTGCCTCTTTGGAGGTACAGAATGAGTCTAGGATTGGGGCAGGCATACTGTAATACTTTCCCAGTTCTGGAAAAACATTTAGTGCTAGCAGTAGTAGCAGGTTCATTCAGTAGCATTTACAGCCAAAGTCATGGGTAAGTATGTTAGCAAAGTTATAGTTTCAACTAGTGCAAACCTTTAGAGTATGTGTGGGTACTGTCTTGCCAAGTATGCCTTCTTCAGGAATCACCCTTTTACTTCCCTCTGGGTGTGTGCTCTTGCTTTTGCTCATTTTTTCACACTCACTTATTACTCTGCTGGGATTGTGCTTCAGCTGCTCAGGAAGGTGAGAATCTCGCAAAGCTCAAGGGCAATGCTGAAAATGGTACTGCCTTCAGGAGGAAGGCTGTCCAGAGAACAGCTACATCATATGGCAAGAAATTTCTGTTTTCTTTGAACCATCAATATTTCTGGTATTGAAGGGAAATACCTTACAGGTGGAGATGTTGGCCACATCAGCAGCCCTAAACAGCTCTCTGTCTGTTGTTTTAACCTATTCCAGCTGTGCTGAGACAAAAAAGCTGCCATGTTTGACAGCATCTTAAACCAGCTGGGAATCAGCAGAGTAAGAGATTTGAAGGGACTGGCAGAAGCCCTACCCAAGCAAGACTTTCAGTGGGAAAACACCAATACGATAACAATGGTAAAGTTCTGGAAACTGTGGAAAGCCTCAAAGAATGAGAGCAGGTGGCTCTTTCTGAATAAGGTTAAAAGTTGAAGCTGAAAATCTAGTAAAACTTGAACCCTTAATGTAACCAGATGTCTAGGAAAGCAGAAATGAGAAGAAAATGTATTTGTGATGGTTCTAATGTATTATTTTCAAGTCAGATGTAATTATTAACTATATTCAGTTTTCTAATGTTTGTCAGTTCAAGATATGTCCCTGTTTTCCCCTAAAATTGCTGCAGGCTTGTAGTACCCTTTCCATGCAAATCGACCTGCATAGGAAGAGTCATCAGCTTGTTATTTATTCTTTAGCCTAATTTCTTTTAGTTCTGTTCAGTGAAACTGGCACACGTTAAAAGCCTGCATTTTACATCTTTGTGTTCCCCATATCTCCAGTGATTGTGTAGTTCTGTATTTTTCTCAATTCTGAATATTTCTTTTTCAGATGAGAAGTGAAAGACAGCCAAGCTGTTTCTTGTGTTGAAGTCATATCATAGTTTCAATCATCAATGTACTCCTTCATTAACTTTTTTCCTGTTCTTCCGTATCCTTAAGGAGCTTTAGGGACCAGAATTTCCTTGTATGTGTTGCTGATTAATGATTTTCCTTATTTCTGAACATGTAGTTGGTATTTCTTTTAGCTGCTCATGAGCCCAATTATATGCAAACCTTATCTAAATTGAACATGACTCCAAGGTCTCATTCCAGAACTGTAATAGCCAGCTCGGAGCTGATAATCTTAAGCATGAAACTAAGATTGTTTTTCTCTTGATACATCACTTCACACTTCCACAGTTAGGTTTTATTGTCAAGTGGCACTAGCCTTGTGAGGTTCTTTTCTATTTTGCCTGCTGGTTATTTTCCTGCTGCTCTGATCCTTCTTAGGTTATCTGCCAATACATTGGATGGCATTCCTGCGGACCTCCGCTGACTCCTCTCCGCTGTGGGAACTGATCACTTATTCCTTTTCTTTGTTCATTCAAACTGTTTATTCAAAGATCTTCTTTCTCATTCCAGTTTCTCTTCATTTGCTTTAAAAGCCGTCTTTTGAGTAATTCAAACAAAATGGCAATCCAGATGGTTTATTTGTGTTGGATTACTGACTGGTTCAATGAATTGTACTTTGATAGCTTTCCTTGTAGTCATATCACCAGAACAGATCTTGTTGTAATCTGTTGTCCTTCCCTGAAAGGTTAAATTATTTCTGCATTCTCACAGCTAAACCAAGGAGGGCCTCCTCTGAAGTACCTACTGATTTTGAGACTTCAGTTCCCTTTCAGTCAGACAGGTAGATCAGAGCAAATGTTTTTGTGGTGCAAGGTGGTATGAGCTTGAAGAATTCACTGATGAACTGGTGCAGGAATCAGATCAGTACGTAGAATTCTGCATATCTGTACTGATCTTACTGGATTGCCAGTTGTACAATATCACCAGAAAATAGCAGACATACGTCTGCAGACAACGCCAAGAGGTGATTGGAGAGTGCAGTGAAAAAGTATAGCTAGAGGAATCTAGACCAAATATGATCTATATCTTCACACTTGCTTTCTAATAAGGGAAAAAGTCCTGATGTGTTTCAATAGCCTTCCATATTGGTCAAACATATTTTGTCTGACTGGTGTCCTGGAAAAAGAAAGCTCTATAGGCTGATCAGAAAGCTTTCCTGAAATGTCTTTCCAGTTATGTGATTTGGAAGGCCAGAGGGATTCTTCCTCCTCGGGAGCCCAGAGCAAGTGTGTCACTGAAATGAGTTATCAAATTGACAGTCAGCACTGGCTCCATACACACAAGATTTGCATTTCAATACTGACATGCCCAAGAAATCTTTTTCAGATAGAATATGTAAAAGAATATTTATATCCATCAGCTTGATGCCTAGGTAATATCATAACATTGTTAGTGTAGGAGATGTGAGCCAAGGCACTAAAGGGGTTCTGTGCAGTAGTTCAGAGTCAAGCTCAAGCAGAATGTTTAATTGGAACTTCAAGAGCAGTGCAGCTGAGTGCACTCCTTGCAGTAGCACATTAGATGGCAGTAGTAGCCAGGCTCTTTGATAGAGCCTCAAGGGAAATCATCCAGCTTGGTTACTGCAGTCTATGGCAGTCTGATTAACATAGATGGGAATTTAGTTACTTTGAAAGAAAACACATTTCCCAATTAAGAACAGAATCACAGCGGAGTGTGTTTTCACAAGTGCAACACTAAAATGTGGTGAATCAATTCTTTTGGACTTTGAAGTTAGAGATGGAAAATATCTTAAGTGTCCAGAAAATAAAAGTAAGGTTTACAGATTTGGTGTTTCTGTAGTGCTTTTTTTTTTTTTTTTTCTTTTTACACTCAGGTGAAAATCTGGGAGGAAAAGGTCTTTGTGCGCGGAGTGTTTTTTTGTTGTGTGGGGTCTTTGCTTTTTTTGGGGGGGGGGGGGGGGAAGCAGGGAGAGAGGATGAAGGAGGGAGTTTGGTAGCTCTTAAACTACATTA